CACAGTAGTGTCTTGCACTGCTGACCTTTGGGGGACACCTATTGCAGAGGAAGTGTGTAAGAATGAAGCAAAGCTCAGCAAGTGGAGCTGAAACCCTGCACTTGACTCCTTTTGACCAGACTTGTGATACGACCTCTCTGATGTTTGTGGCATGATTCATCAGACATTAGAGTTTAGGAACCCAACTCAGTTGCAAATAGTAAGCAGTTATATGTTGAGAGCTGTGAAGACTTTCCACATCCTTGTCTTTCACAGGAATGAACTGAAATTTTTATCTAAAGGGCACTCCCGAATTTTAAGAGTAAAGCCCTGAAGATTTAATGAGCAACAGATTTTGGCATAATTACTAACTCTTACTTAGACAGATTAAGTTTATATTGTTATATGACTAAAAAGAGTGGGATAGTTCTCCTTTATTTATGTATATATTTATTTACCTATTTATTGAGGGGCTCCATGTATAAAAGTTATTTCATAGACAATTACTTCTTGGGTAATAATGTATCCTTTTAAATTTTACATGCTTCTTATAACAGGAAATCAAAAGCATAAAGAACTTTCCTCTTTTAAAGTAACAATTTGGCATGAAAGTTTACTTTTATGCTAATAGTTTCATAAAGTGTTGATATTTTATACTTTAATATTTTTTTCCACTCTGGGAGTCAAACTCAGGGGTGATTTACTACTGAGCTATATCCTTTGCCCTTTATCTTGTATTCTGAGACAGGGTCTCATTAAATTACCCAGGCAGGATTTAAATTTGTATTCCTCCTGCCTCAGTTTCCCTCAATGCTGGGATTGTAGGAATGTGTCACAACACTTGGCTCTTTCCTTATAGTTTTAAAATGAAACTAGATTTTTAAAAGAAAGAAAAATCACTTACATGCCTGTTAGAGTAACTTTTTATTTTTTCCATGTTTCCTTCTACCTGTATGGCCCAACTTTAGGACTAAAAAACCGCTGAAAAACCAAATGGTCCAGCCCTGTAATCCCAGCACTCACAGGCTGAGGCAGGAAGACCCCAAGTTTGAGTCCAGCCTGAGCAACAAAGCAACTTCGTGTGTCTCGAGATACAAAATAAAGAATGGCTGGGAATGTAGCTTGGCGTGAAAGCTCTGGGTTCAGTCTCCAGTAGGAAAGGAAAGGAAACAAAAAGAAATCAGATAGTCCAATTTCTTCATTTTTCACACAACAAAATTAAGACTCAGAGAGATACGAAGTTTTCCCAAAGTCACATTTTGTTTTCTCCTCTAAATATTCCTGCTAAATTAATAAAAAATTATTAATATGACAGAACCCCCTAATTATCAATTTTCCAGTTAAATAACTGCAAGGAGAAAATATGTCTATTAAACAATACAGTATTAGTGTTATCAGAGGCAACATCTGGAAAATTCTAGCTGCAAATTCTGTATACCGCAATAAAAATCTCCAGAAGTCTTGGAATGTTTAGAAAGCAGAGGTGAATTCAAAGCTTCTGGAGTTTAGGATTTGGATTGGGAGTTCCCATATTTGGTATGCTGTCTGCAGTGTTGATTCTGAAATACAGCCTCCTTGATTAAAAAGGCAAATTATAGGGCTCAGAGAGCACCTAATTGAGGCTTTCTCTCTGCTATAATTCAAAGAATTGAAATGACATTGAGAAGGGGAATGCTTTGCATGGAACACTGGATAGCTTTCAAAACGGCTGTGTTAGAAACAGTCTGGACGTACAGGAATGTAGGATTTCTTAATATGCTACAGCAGAATAAGGCCCCAAATGGGACTAGAAAAACAGTTGTGATACTAGTTTGCTGGGTTAGGGGGGTTATCTAAGGCGAAACATTTTATTTCTGTAGTTGTGTTGATAAAATGAGACTAGCCTAGGTGACCTCAGAGAGCTTATCCAGCTCCATGGCTTTGCTCCGGGAATGTGAATGTGGTCTGTATTCCAGGCCCTGGCAAAGCCCTGGACTGAAGAGCGGTGTGCACTGACCGGTCCTAGTGTCCCTTTGTCCCTTTGTCCTCTGAGACCAACCCTGGGCAGAAACCTGGCACCTTGCTGGTGCCCCTTTCTCATTTTCGCCACTGGCCTTTCTACTTTACCTGTAACAAAGCCGCACCATCTGTTTATGATCCATGGTTTTCTCTTCTCCACCAACTCTATGCTCACTCTGGTGCTTGTTCTTAGCTGAAGCACAGGAACCAATAGCTGCTTTTGTGATGGTGTCTCGGAGGCCGATCTGCACCTCCCGAGCTCCACTTGGTTTAACTCACACACTCCTGGGCGTGGCCCTTCAAGTCTCTCTCTCTCTCAGGCTGTACCGGCCTCAACAAATCCCGCAGCCTCTTTCAGGTGTGTCTCCGACACAACTTAGCGACTTCTCCCCTGCTTCTATGCAGGGCTCTGCAGCAATAGCTTCTGACGGCATCCAAAGCAATCCTGTTACAACATTAGGTCAAGGCACGTCATCCTTCTGCTCCCAGTGAAATTCTTAGGATGACCTGCAGAGTCCTAGGTGCCTTAGTCGCTGCCACTGCTCCTCCACCCTCCGACCTGCCAGAAAGGCAGCCGCTCCCGAGGACTTTGCAGCTGTGCTTCCTGCCTGGAATACTTTTCCTCCAGATAGCTGCAGCCAGTTTCCTGTTTGTCATTTAACAGCAATGTCACTCCTGAGCTTTCTCTGGTCATCCTATTGCCCTTTCTAAAATGAGAACCGCTTTCTTATTTTCACCTTGTACTTAGAACCAACATACCATGTTGTGCTTGTTTTTCCTTGTTTGTTCCCTGTGATAGTAGAGATTTTTGTTTTTTAAATTATGAAATCATAAAATTTCATAATAATGTACTAACAAGTTAGTACACTGCATATTGATATCTTTCAAATACTCATTACAAGTTAGACAAAAAGACTTTCTTACAATGAAGAAACAGATAATAGCACAAACCTTTCTTATTTTGTTTCTCATATAAGAGAAAGCATGTTTGAGCTTGTCTGATTACACTATAATCTCAAGTTGCATCCATTTACCTATAAATGCCTCAAATTTATCTTTATGGCAGTACTGTACTCCATTGTGTATAAATACATTTTCCTTATCCATTCATCCGTTACTGGACACAAATGCTATTTCCAAGATCTAGATATGAAAAATAGTTCTGCTATAAAAATGGCTATGCATATCTCTGTAATCTGATGATTTTAACTTTTTTAGGAAAATACCTAGAAAGGGGATACCTAGATTAAATTCAATTTCTATTTTTAGTTTAGGTTTTTTTTTTGTCTTTTTGAGACGGAGTCTCGCTATGCAGTTCAGGCTGGACTTGAGCTCACTTTGTAGCCCAGATTGGTCTCAAACTCGCAACGATCCTCCCACCTCAGCCTCCCAAGTGCTGGAATTACAGACTGAGCCACCACGCCCGGCTCTTATTTTTAGTTTTTTGAGGAATCTCTACACTGATTTCCATAGTGCTTCTACTAGTTTACATTCCCACCAACAATGCAGAAGATTCCTTTTCCCCACATCCTTGCCAGCATTTGTTAATACTACACTTTTTTGACAATAGCCTTTCTTTCTGTAGTAAGATGGTATCTCAGTGTAGTTTTAATTTTCATTTCTCTGCTGGCCAGTAATGATGAGCATTTTTTAATGTACTTATTGGCTATTTGTACTTCTAGGACTGTCTATTCACTTCATTTGCCCATTTTTTGATTGGGCCCTTTGCTGTCCTAGGTTCTTGAACTTGTCTAGAATAGAGTGTGCTCAACAGGTATTTAGTATCAAAAGAGTTGTAGGGATCTGTACAGAGAGAACGTAACATGCAAAGATGGAGATGCACAGTAGATAAAATGTTTGATCGTGGTGAAGATTTGACCATCTTTTTGGTCAAATCTTCTTGTGAAATTAAAAAAAACTTCCATGCATTTATCATGATATAAGTTTTAACTGTCTTATAAGTTGCTTTCGATTCCAGGGAAAGCATTTTCTACTATTAAAGTCTTCATTTGTTCACTAGATGAATCCCATCTTACTTTCCAAGTGTTATCCTAGACACTCTACTAAGTTATGGGGGAAAAAGTAGTCTGCCATAATAGAGGAAAAATTCCAGGTCCTGACTGTCCTTGCTACTGCAAAATTCTAAGGTTGTGTTATGTAACACCAAGGAGAAATATGAAGCATTAAATGCACTAATGGAAGTAGTGATGAAATAAATGAATTATAATACGCTACATCAAATTTATTTTAAATAAGAGATCACAGAAACTCCATTTAGTTTTTTCCCCCTCTTCTTTTTCCTTCATCAGAAAGATACTCCCTGTAGTCGGGTGTGGACGCGCATGCCTGTGATTCCAGCACTAGGGAGGCTGAGGCAGGAGGCTCACCTGGAGTTTGAGACCAGCCTGGGGTACATAGTGAGTTCAAGGCCAGCAGTACATAGTGAGTTCAAGAACTAGCAGAATCCTGTTTCAAAATTTAAAACAGAAGAAAAAGATGCTCTTCTTGGTACATGGGAGAGGATTCACTGATACGTATTGAAGATGCACTGAAGGGAACGGTATTTTCACAGCAGAGCTTTCTAGATTCCATGCCGGGTCGCTGTCCTCGAGCTCCACCGATTTTATCTGCATTCTGTCAGACACCCGGACCTGAGCTCGCCCAGGGGAATGCGAGGACGAGCCGCGACTGCGGAGCCCGGCGCCCCCCACTGAGGTCCCGGGCTCCCCGACGTGGACGTGGACGTGGACGTGGACGTGGACGTGGACGTGGACTGCCCCGGCTCCCGGACGGCTGGCTCCGACCTCCGCTCTGGCGGCCCAGCCAGGCTGGGCTCACCGCGGTCGGCGACGGCGGCCGCTAGGGTGGGGGGGAGGGGCGCGGCCGCGCTGCGTCGGGCTCCCACAATGCCCCGCGGCGCGGGGAAAGTTTACGGGACGTAGGCGGCGGCGGTGGCGGCGGCCGCGCGAGCGGTAGCGGTTCCAAGGCGGCGCGCGGCGGACCATGGCCCTGGCCCGGCATCCCCGGCCTCCCCTCACGGCGTCGCCTGGCAGCGTCGCGGGGCGGGCCGACTTCCGGGAAGGAACCGACATGCGACAGAGCGGCGGCCGGCGCGCTTAGCGCCGCGAACATGCGGCAGTCCCTGCGGGCAACCCCGGGCTGCGGAGCGGCGGGTGGCGGGCGGCGGGCAGGACGGGCTGCCGGGGCGGCTCCGAGGCCTCGTCGAGGATGCTGTCCCGAAAGAAAACCAAAAACGAAGTGTCCAAGCCGGCCGAGGTGCAGGGGAAGTACGTGAAGAAGGAGACGTCGCCCCTGCTGCGGAGTGAGTGTCGCCGGGGCGCGCCCCCACCTCGGCTGCGGGCACCGGCTGGCGCCCGCCGCCGCTCCTGCCCCTCCGAGCGCCGGGAGATTGTTGCTGCTGCTGTTAGTTTCTCTTGGGTGCGAAGTGGTATTTGTTCATTGAAAGTCAGTGTAGAGTAGGAAAAGGATTATAACCCCGCCCTGAGTAATTCCCTAAGTCTGAAACTTCCCTGCTGACCCCCTCCTCCCAGGTCTGGGCGTCCGTGTTTGGCAGTCCTGGGGCAGTTGCTGTCCTCCGGTGCTGTGGGAGTGAAAAGTGACTCGCTCGGGATACTTTCCTCGCTGCAATACGTTTGCAAACATTGCGGTTGTCACTCGCGGTGCCCTGCGTGATACAAACTCCAGGGACAGAATTCCAGAGCCCCACTGCAGGACGCAGACTTGAGAAAGCAAGAAGCAGACCGTTGCCTAGCCCTTACCCAAAACGTCATCGCTGTTACATCTAAGAGCAGAGAAGGCGAAAATATTTGTATTGGCTATTTTCGTGAGATTGCAAAAAGCCAGAGTACTCAAAACTATTCCTGTGCTATCAGGGAAGTTTCCTCCCCCGCCCCTCAGTAGTAGGGTATGTTCCCTCTATCCCTCTCAGCTTAAAATATTTGATTTCCAAGCTGAATTTCCGGACTTTTTGATTCGAATGCGGTCTAGACAATTTGTGAGGCAATGTGCTAATCTTGAGGTGCTCCTACTACTGCCTCCAGGGCCCTTTGTGTAGGTTTCCTGCTTGGAAGCTAGTGTTGGTGACTTAAGCTTTGCTTCATATTGTAACTGGAAAAGCTGTTAATAGAGGTTCCTAGTATTTGCCCAGGAACACTCAGAAAGTGGTGGAGAGCATGGTTTTCCTTTATAATACCATCAGCTTTTCAGGCTCATTGTGGTAGTTCCAGTACTTTCAACAAAATAGATCAGATCAGTACATCAGTAACTTGAAACTTGATTTTAAAACTTGTTTTTTTAACAGCTTGGTTTTCAGTTGTATGTTCCCTTTATGTTTTTAAATGAAAACTTACACGCTGCAAATACTTCGTTAAACATGACCATACTTGAAATCTTACATAGATCACATCTGTAAGCCAGTAACTTAAAGCAATACTTCATTTTTGTTATTGTTGAGTTTTATTCTGATATTTAGCTTCTGAAGCTTATTTAAGTGCCCTTAATATTGTCTGCTTACTGAACTAATAAAATGGACACTATATGTAGATTTTTTTCATGTTACAAAGGCATTTGTTTTCTCATCAAGAATGTCTTAGCTATTTTCACATTCATCGTTCAGTAGTACTATATCTTGAAGGCCATTGTTCTACCATTATCTTCTGTTTTGAATTAAAGGAGCCATAATTTTAGGCTTGGCATGTTTGATCTGATTTAACATTTATGTGTCTCTTTGAAATTAGATCTTTTAATTTTCTTACCTCAGTTTTTTGCTTTGCAGTCTTTGGTTACTAAGTGCTAGGTAATTCATAGGAAGAGTTACCAATTTTAGAGTCTTTAAGGAAGTGTGTGTGTGTTTGGGAGTAGATGTATATTAAGTTTTTTCCTTTAAGGATATTTGACAGTTTCTAAAATGAAGCAAAAACAAAACAAACTAGCTGTAAATTATGCTGGTAATTATTTGTAATGACTTATAATTTTCTATTTTACACATTAATTCAGGAATATTTCATTGATACATACCTCATAGTTAAGCTATTTAATCATACTATCTAGGGTACTACATAGAAAACATTTGATTCTGGCAGAGTTTGCACATAGCACATCCATGAAAATTATTTTCCTGTTTGAGTGGGAAAATAATCTTCCTCAGTTTAAAATATCATCATAAATCAAAATTTAAATTTTGTTAAGTGAATTAGTGTTTTGATTTTGGGGTGGTAGGTACAAATGAAAATCCTTAGAAAGTATTTATTATTTATCAAAGTGGTAATTTTATTCCCTGTTTTATTAATAGATCTCATGCCTTCATTTATCCGGCACGGCCCAACAATTCCAAGACGAACTGATATCTGTCTTCCAGATTCAAGCTCTGCTGCTTTTTCAGCTTCTGGGGATGGAGTAGTTTCAAGAAACCAGAGTTTCCTTAGAGCTCCAGTTCAAAGAACATCGCATGAAATAATGAGAAGAGAAAGCAACAGATTGTCTGCACCTTCTTACCTGGCCAGGAGTCTAGCAGATGTCCCTCGGGAGTATGGCTCCTCTCAGTCATTTTTGACAGAAGTTAATTTTGCTGTTGAAAATGGAGACTCTGGTTCCCGATATTACTATTCAGATAATTTTTTTGATGGCCAGAGGAGGCGGGCATTTGGGGACCGTGTACATGAAGACTACAGATACTATGACTACAACCATGATCTCTTCCAAAGAGTGCCGTCGAATCAGGGGAGGCATACTTCAGGTATGGTAATATTATAGGAGGTACATTAACATTGCAGTTAAGACCATGTTCTTTTCTGGATTTTCTTGAGACAGCAAAAAATACTCTTAATTTTTTTCACATTGTCCATTGTACCAGTCTGGCTTAAGCCTACTTGCAAGTAGTTGTTAACCTACACTGAATGACAGAATTCTTGAGTCCGTTTATTTTATCAGCGTGGTACGTAAGATTGTCTACATGGGCCTTGAAAACATGGAGAATGTAATGTCTTTGGTTAGATTAAATTCAGAGTTAGCTTTGGTGAAATGAGAGGGTTAAGTCTTTAGAGAGATACTGGACATAATCGGAGAAAGGAGAGGAAAAATTGTCTATGCTGGATGATACCATGGCAGCTATATTACTTAGTAAAATCTTGTACTTTTTTTCTGAACATAATTTTTTATAGCTCAGTAATTTCTCAGTTTGGTCAAAAAGACTTATAATCACGTGCTGAACATTTCTTTTGGTGCTTCTTTTTGTAACAGGCAAAAAATTTTAATCAAGTAATTAAGGAAAAAAATCTGCTTATCTTTTACCTTGAGCCCATAAGGAAGAGAAGAAAGTTGGAGAAATGTTTTGTTTTTCCTAAAATGCTGGGTTATACTAGATAAATTAACACAACTCGAAAATTAAACTTCATCGTCTGATTTTATTTCTTTCCTTTGTAGTAAGTTGTAGGATTTAAGTTTGGCAGGATAAAGATTTACATTTTAGCCCACGTAGCTTCAAATAAGATGACTTAGCAGTTTGGAGCATGAGTGTTGACTGTAGGAAGAATTGTATTCATTTTGTTTTCATCCTTTATAGGTCTAGCAATTTCCTTGACCCTCTTGGAATATTGTATTTGTGGACACTCATAAAACAGAGAATTGTTACACTTTGTGGTGTCAGCTGTGAGTGTGACAAGGCGTCAAAATAGAGGTCAGTGTGGGCTAGAATGACTTGTGAAGGAGGTGAGACTTGAACTGGCTTCTTGTAGCAGAGCAGAAGAAAATATTTTAAATGAGAAATTGAGAGTAGCTCAGGGAAAACAGGATAGACCAGCCAGGTTTAAATTTAAGGAAATGGGCAGTACTGCCTCTTTTTAAGAAATAAGATATAAGATGAAATGCGCATTTGTTTTCCAACTACAATCAGAAGCCACTGTACATTTCATGAAGAGAAATGATTTTATGAAAATCGTGTGTAGAGATTAGTGTATAGCATTGTTTGGGATAGATCCCTAGAGAAAAGATGATTGATTACAGGGACCAGTGATACTAGAGAGGAAGAAGAGAGATCTAAGTTGTCTTTTTCAAGGAAAAATGAAGATAGTAAGTTTGCAGAAAAGAAAATCACTAAATTTTGAAAATTGAGGAACAGTGTGAATGTTAGGTAAAGTAAGTACAACTTGTTTTATGATGCTGTAATCTCATCGGGATACTGAAAAGGAAAGATTCCCTGGGCAAGTAGAAGTGAACACGGGTGAGTACCTTTTTGGTTTTAAAGAACTTCTAGATTAACACAGTTGCATACTGAGTAATGTAGGTTTTTTTTAAAAAATATTGTGAAGTTCTTGTCAGAGATATTCTTTACCCAATTCAAAAGTGAATATAAAAAGAAAAGTTCATTTTCTTTTAGAGTAACAGCTGTATTATAGAAAATTTTAAAATGCAAAATATAAAGTAGCCATCTACTAGCAATTCTTTGTTAGATTATTTTGTCTTTTTTTCATACTAAATTCTCTTATTTTATGATTATGTCCTATACAACTTTCATGTTCTCTTGGCTTTTACTTGACTAGATTTCTTGATGTTACACACTTTTTATGAGTAGTAACTCCATAGTTTTCTTCTTTGGTGCGTGGTCAGTGGTTAGTATTTTAGATTACAGGTATTTTTTTTTTGTCTTTTTCATTTTTACCGGTACCAGGGATCGAACTCATGACCGCCTGCTTACAAGGCAAGTGCTTATGCCACTGAGCTAAATCCCCAGCCCCAGTGGTTAGTATTTTAAACAAGTTAATGAGGACCTGCTTTTGATGTTTGGAAAGGGAATAAGTGGGACACATCCAAATGAATGGGACTTGGTTAGCGCTGATAAGGGTGGAGAGAGAAGGGGAAAGGAGAGTCTCATGTGACTAGCATAGCCCTAGCTACATGGAGATGCCCCAAAAGTAAATTGCTAAGAGAATGGATGCATCCAGAGGTTCGAAATCTGGAGACTGAAGCAGTTTTTGCTAGTGAAAGGAGATCAGGAATAATAGCAGTGTTTGTCGCCATATGGATCATTTATTGTTCTTTGTGTTCACCTTTCCCATCTCTGTATTGTACACATCACTCATAGTTCATACAGGTTGAGCATATTAAAAAATGTGCAATTTGAAATGCTCCAAAAATGAAACTTTCTGAACCCTGACATGATGCCATGAATGTGAAATTCCACATTTGACCTCCTGTGACAGATCACAGTCTGAAGAGTGTTACACAAAAATTACTGCCTTTCAGACTGTATAAGGTCCACATGAAACACGTATGATTTTCAACTTGGGTCCCTTCCCACAGATACCTCATGTATTAGCAAATATTCTAAAATCCAGAAAGACTCAAATACAAAACACTCTGGTCTCAAGCATGTGGATTAAGGGGTACTCAGTCTGTGAAGCCTTTTGTGTGAGCTCTCATTATATCTGGAGAACTTGTAATACTAAGTTACTGTCTTATTTTCAAATTTGTATTTGCAAAGTATCATTGAAGAAATACTGTAAACCAAATTTCCACTGACTTAGGAGCAATCTTGACATAGTTTTTATAAGTTTATAGACAGACTTAAATCAGCTTTCCAGGCACAGCTTAGAAATAAAGTACAGGTTGAGTATTTTTTCAAGTTAAAAGCATTTTTAAAAATGTGATTTGACTTCATGGGGTCGCGAAACAGTAGCTTTTAGCTACACAGTAGGTGTCTGTGTTCTTTATCTTACTCCAAGCTCTTTCACCTCAGATTACACCAGGTTTACAGAAGGTTACAGATATTTGAAAATTTTTTGTAATAAAATGTCTCTGTCTCTAATTTTTTTTTAAGGAAAAGACATTATTTATTACAGCAATGAATGAGAAACTGCTTGAGACTTCATTTATTATTATTGTGTCAGGGCAATATAGATTTGATGGCTTACCTTCTAGAAGAAAATAGTGCTTCTTTGAAGGAATTTCTTGAACTTGCAAGAAAAGATTAACAATCAGTTTAGTAACCAAACAGAAAAACCTTGTAACTGTCTTTACCAGGGAAAGATGTGAGTATGAGACTAGCAGAGTTTCCTGAATTCAGAAAAGATTTGAAACTTACATTTTCAAGATATACAGAAATTTAAATGAATGGAAAGGAGAAAGTAAGTTGTGAGAGGGTAGGGATGAGCTATATAGACAGGTCTATATTCACAAGTACTATATTAAATTTTTGTTATTAATGTAAGTATAAAAATATAACAAATTTGTTATGATTAATGACAGTAATAATTCCTGCCAATTACTTCTTTCTTAGATTTTCAGGAAACACCTTTTCTCAAAGGGTTAAATTTATCTTACTTAGCAAAAGCACAAAAACAAATTGTAGTGTAGTAGCTTTTTGTGTATTGTCATAAAGGATCTTGGGCCAAGGGAGTTCTGTATTTAGCTGTGAAACTTGACCTTAACATTCTTGGCCATCATGCCAGGCAGTCCCTGTGTGTGCCAAAGGAAGGAATCTTGCTGTTAACAGGAAGTCTTAAGCAGATTGAATTTCTTTGTTTTGCACATAATGTAGTTCTATGAAACTTTTAAGTAGCAATTTAAAAATATTTTAAATGTTCTAAAGATCACTGAAGAAATCAGCTTACAAAAATCTGAAACTGAAGTCAGGCTTTGTTAAAAAATACTTGATTTATATTTATTCCTGTAAAATACTGAGTTAATCAGAACCATTTTTTGAGGAAAAGTTGATCTTTAGATTATCCTCTTTGCAGAGGAAGAGAAAAAGTTGGCTTTGTTTAATACTTGGAACTTTTTCTCAACATCCTAATTATAGCGTTAGTATTTATCACTGTGAATCTTTTGAAACTTAAGTTTCAGATTATTTTTTTCTTTTGGTACTGGGGATCAAAACCAGGACCCTGTGCATGCCATGCTTACTAGATAAGACTCTTGCCATGAGCTACATCGCTGGCAAACCCCCTCACCCTTTTAAAATTTTTGTTGTGAAACAGGCTCACTGAGTTATCCAGGCTGGTTTTGACCTTGTGATCTTTCTGCCTCAGCCTCCTTAAGTAGCTGAAATTATAGGTGTGAATCACTATACCTGATCTGGGTTCATTTTAATCTCTGTAGATCAAGTTTGGAAACCAGGAATCTTGAGTTTTATTTATAAATATAGATTTCTTATGTATTTTACAGGTTAAGTTCTTTAAAGGCATGTCTAGTGAAAGCTTGTTGGAGATGAAAGATTTCTGTTTCCAGACTTCTACTTACCTTTGGAAAGTCCTATAATCAGCTTGTGAATGTTTTACTTTGTATTAGTGGAACATGTTTGTGCTGTTAATTCCTGAAAACAAGCAATTTTAAGATTATTTATGAAAGCCATTTATTCTTTTCTGTTAACTAATTAAAATTATGGAAAACTTTTTTTCCTTGTGGTTCAGAAATAGTCTCATTTTCCTATAGTACTAATTTAGTTCAGCATTGATAGTTGCCTTTTCTTTTGTTAGTAGCAGTTACATTTTTCTCCTTTTGTGATCTCTAAAAGTGATTGTGGGTTTAAATGTCATCCTGGTTCATCCATCATAATCCCAGCACTTAAGGAGGCTGAGGCAGGAGAAGTACAAATTTAAGGCTTTCTCAAGCAACTTAGTGAGACTCTGTCTGAAAAAATAAAAAGCACAGGGGATGTAACCCAGTGGGAAGCCTTGGGTTCAGTCCCCAGTCCAGGGGCCAAGGGAGAAATGGACAGCAGCCTTTTTACCTGTTGGTTTT